GTGTCTTTAAGAATGGAGATTTCACAACCTCTTTAGGTAACCTTAACCTAGCTCAAACCTCTTTGTTTGTGTCCTTCTGGATATATAAACAGAAAAGCCAAGTACTTATACCATTCAAGAAAAGAGATGGTTTTATGAAGGCACACCCTAGGTGATTTCTTAAGGAATGCACCACAATTCAGCCCTCATCTTGTTAGAGCTGCATCCAGATCTTTGCCATCTGCATTGTCTGATACTTCTTGTCTCTTCACAAAGCTCAGTTTGTTTCATCATCCAAAGCATTTTAATAAGACTTAGTACTTCCTGTTCAGCACTACCAGTTGAGACAAGAAGTCTTCGCAGGTAACATGAATTCACTTAATATCTTGAAATATCCCCTATCCAGCGTAGAACTCTAATTGCAGTCATGTCATTGAGATGGTCAGTGTTGTAAAGCTTGCCAGATCTTTTCTTGTGAAAGCTGCTTGATGAGCATTAACAGGCCCAAATCTGTATGGTTGTCACCTGATTAGTTATCCTTTCATATCTTTACTGCAGGTATTCTTTATTTGACTTGAACTGCAAAAGATTTGTGCCATCATCTACAGAAATCCCCTAAAAATGAATGTTTATATCCTTAAAATCCCTGTCAGTTCTCACTGAATTTTAAACATTTAATGCTTTATGTAAGCAAAATCCCTAACAAATTGAAGTATATGCTTCTAAATCTTCAGAGAAGCATTTAAATCCTGGCATTGAACAATAATTTGAGAACTTTAGATACTCAGTCCTATATTCATTTCTGTGAAAGTGTTCCTAAATGGGATAAAGAATGTCGACATTCACCTTAGCTTTAAGCAGAGGGCCTTTCTTTTCCAGGATGGTTATCAGAAAACCATGGAAGTGCAGAAGCAAAGTACAGGATGCATGACTTCTAAAATTTCTTCATCTGGAGAATCCTAGAATCTTTTTATCTTTTTATTTTTTTTTCTTTATTATTGTTTCAGAATAGTAAAAACAGAAGTTTGTCTTGGTTCCAGGTCAGGAAAACAATAGTGTGCTAAATACTTAGTAGTTCATGACAGGGGAGAGTTGGTTTTTTTCTCAGCCTGCCAGCTTGGTTAGTAATGAAAACAGCTGAATAGAGACAGGTTACACGTGAAGAAAAAGCAAAGAAAGCATATGGGAGAATAGAGACAGGTTACACATGAAGAAAAAGCAAAGAAAGCATATGGGCTTTTTTAAGAAGAGACTAAACTTGATTCATCGTTCATGGAAAGTGCACTTCAAACAAACCAATCAATGAAGATTAAATGAAGAATAACAGAGAGTCCTGAAAAATGCAGAAGTGGACATAATTTCACTTAGGTTTTCATTTCCTTTTAGAGGTTATTGACTGAGCACCTGCTTGGAAAGCAGAATGTTGTATCATCAAAGAGGTTTCTAAGATTGTCTCATTTTTAATTGTCTCTTTCTCTTAGAAACTGAGCCTGTCAATTGTAACTGAGTTTTAAGAGAGCTTCACATGTCTAATGACATTGGTTTTGATTTTCAAGTGATAATCTATGTCTATGTCACAAAATGAGAGAATATAAACAATGTCTAATGCTTGAAACTGAAGTAAGTTTTTCTTTGTAGAATTCAGATCAGCTCTTCAGTTTGTTTCCTACATCTGTCACCTTCAAGCCTGTTTTCTGTTCTACAGTCCCTGTTGGTGATGGAACTGAGTTTTTCAAAAGGCTTAAAGTCTGTTTTACCATTCCACAGCAATTCCACAGCCTCATCAGCTGAGGACCCTTCTTCAGTTTTTGAATGTTGTGCTACATATACCATGTGGTCCTCATTCAGATGCTGTCTGGTCTGTGGCAGTAGCACAGATGTCTTAAGAAAGCATCTTCCACCACACCTGCTCCTGCTCCATGGATATTACACAAGCTGCCTCTCTTGCTCCATGTTGGATAATGAGAGAATGAATTTGGGAGTCGGGGTTGACTTTGATGTTTGCCAGAGCTCTGCTTCCTCAGGACTAGCTGAAGAGTCTCTATAAGGCTAGTTGGCATCTCATTGCCCTGAGGAAAACCTCTGTGTTTTGTGATCCCACAGCAGTATGGACATTTGAGTTCTAGTGCCTACACACCTTGCTGACATAGTGTACACAGTATGCAAGTCAATCCCTTGTCCCTTGAATGACTTTGGTTTTCAGGCCACACACTCTGCAGTGGTGGATATGTACAGAGGGATGTTGGTTCTTAAGCCTTTGCACCCCAAGGCTGTTCTTGTGACCATATCTTGCTTTGTTTAGGCCTCAGCATCTTGCTTTGTTTTTTGGCTGAGGATGGATCTTAATGAAATAAGAAGCTAAAGTCCTAAACAGGAATTAAGAGTTTAAATATTTCCTGAATCCAATGTGACATATTTAAGGAGGCTGTAAAATTGCTCATGGCCAGATATTTCGTTACTTACATAAAGGCATTGAAAAGTTTTGTGGTCAGTTGACACACACTAAATTTTCATGTTTCTTGTTCCAATATATTTATAGTCAAATGTTCTTGAAATTACTGTTTAAAGATTATTGTTAGAGTGAGGCAGACTTAATGCTGGGGTTTTTTTGTGGTTGATAACCGCATGGTGTGAACATCAAGACTACTTTCTCATTTAAATAGTAGGTAAGTACAAAGTGATTAGTTTATCTTCTTTGAAGAAATAGATGATAAGCTGTTTCTAGACACTTTGAGGCAAATAATGAACATTTCCTGGTGGTTTTGGTTTTTTTGGTTTTGGTTTTTTGTTGTCTTTTTTTTTTTTTAAAGATAGCTGCTGCCTCCTCCCCAGGTGACTAGAAGATAAAAATGACTGAACATTTTAAAAGCATTTTTTACTACTTGCTTAACTGGAAATATGCTGATATTGGGGGCAGTAAAAGGGTTTTGTGGTACCTCTTTGTGGGACAGGAGTTTGATATCTCAGTGAATAGGAACCTAATACAAATGCAACATTGTCTCCTACTGGAAGGAGTGTTTAATTGAATATGATACCTCTTTTTAATTTGAGAACGTCTTAAGTTTGGCTCCTAGGGATATTGCTGTGCTATTCTTCCCTTTTTCTTTTTTTCTCCTTACTTTCTCCTCTGCTATTTTTTTTCCCTTCCATAGGAGAATCAGCCAACATACATTCTTTTTTTTTGCATGTAGTTTTTGCTTTGCTTCTTTTGACTTCTGGCATTGCATCCTCATGAGCAATTTTCACGTTGCCCCATGGGATTAAGAACAGGACCAAAATACCCACATAGTGGAACACACAGTAGATAGGTTCCCTAGAATGGCTTATTTTCCTTAAACGGCACCAAAAACAACTTTCATCTTTTTTCTTCTGGAATGTGTTTTGATCAAAACTCTAGGGAGGGAAGGCATGAAAGATTGATGCCTGTTCTTGTTAGTCAGACCATGGCAAGTGTGCTTCGCTTCTTTGCTTGCTTTCTAGTTTGGGGCATTTGGAAACAGTGTTAATCTATAAAATTTGGGCTGGCCTTAAAAGCTCAGCTTTTCCTACCTCCTGGAGACAGCAATTGATTTCCCCACAGGTACCCCTTTCATTTTGAGTCAATTGATACCAATCCTGTGCAATTTCAGATGTGTCTGAATGTTAAAGGCATGAAACTCAACAACAAATAAATAAACAATGACTCCAGTTTTGATCTCAGTAGTAGTGTCCTCACTGCATGAACTGGTATGTTTTCAGAGACTGGAGCAGTGGTCAGAATTCAATTTGAAATAGCTTATTTAATGAAGTCTATATAAAAGTTTTTGGCAGTGTTTTTTTGTTAGCATGCACAATAATGTAGATTGCTGCCTAGGAATGTTTTCTATGTAAAAAATGTTTGGTTTTTTTTTTTTTACCTAGCTATGAATTATGACATTTATTTCCTGTCATGCCAAACCCTCTATACATTTTTTATTTTTATTTTTTTATTAATTTAAGAATACAAATTGGAGTATGGTATTGCTCTGGTTCTTTGTGGGAAATATGAATGGTACATGTATGTTTTTTAAGAGAGAGAGAAGAAGCAGTTTGTGGCTCAGTCCTGGTAAGAAGAGCACAGCCAGGAGTTGGTCAGATGGGTTTGTAGCTTTGCCTTGTGGCACTGAGATGTTTACATGTGTTGGTTTTCCACTTCACTGCTCTTGCTCATCATCTTTTGACATAGGTATCATGTAGCACAGGTGTCTGTTGTCACTGAGTACTGAGATTTTGTGGAGAGGCACTGACTTAAATGTATTTAATGTCTGAAATGAGATGAAAGAGATTCTACAATAGTATACGAAAGTAATTTATTGGTGTGAATGCATCACATACCTTCTGTAATGTCGTTTGCGTGTCTTTGAAGAGGATGGTATGAGATAGGTGGTGACTGTAGAAGCTTTTGATTCTGAGTGTTTTTCTTTGTTAAATAATGAAAAAATCAAGTGTAATGTTCTGTTCAACTTTGACTCTGTTAGAATTCCTTGCCTGACTGGAGAGAAAGAGTACACATAAAGGAGAATATCTTATTTGATGCAGTTATAGTAACAGACCTTCACTGTCTTTTAAAAGCAGTCAGAGTTCTTGAGAATAAAAGTAGTGAAAATGTTTGAGGGACCAGAAATTTGCATACATTTTCTTCCCTGGGAATTAATGGGAGTATAGACATCTCCTTAAATTGTTCATGTGATGTCTGCTTAAATTATCTATGTGGAAACTTAAAATTCATGATAGTTTTACACTCAAAATTACTGTTCATATTACTGTGAATATAAAACATCTTATTCACAAATAGACACTACCTGCTGAAAGTTTTGCCTTTCATTTAAAAATGTCACCTTCTTCCACAGCTAACTTCTAGTCATGGAAAGTTCTTGGGGAGCAAACATACACATGTATTATGTGATTTTGCACAGAAGTAAAAAGGAGAAAATATATATGAACCTTCCAATAAGCAAGTATTTAAACATTGCACAAATATAACTTTCACTTTTGTGTTTCAGGAAAACCAGATACATCTGCTGAAACTCTTCTGGATCAGGAATGTATAAACCCTATGAATTCCTCAAGCCAACTAGAAGACTCTGGATGTGATGTCTCTAATGACTCTGCATTTGATTCTTTAGGCATATCTTCAGATTTTCTCCAGTCTGAGCATAATGTCAACACTTCTAAAGGTTGGTTGGAAAGAGTTCTGCCATTGAATCTTTGCCATACTAGCAAGGAGGAATCTCTGACTGCTCCAGTGCAGTTTTTGCAACATTTGCTTGAAATAAGAAAACTGTCAGAAGGAGGAGTTCTTCAAGCAGACTTCTCAGAGCTTGAGAATGATTCTTTCACCATATGCAATTCAGTGGCTCAGTTGCTTGATGGACTGACTGTTTTTTACAACAGTCCTAAATTTCCAGTTTCAAATTTTCTTACTGAAGCAGTTCGTGTATTGACCAGTTTAATAACTGATACTAAATTATCTAATCATGTTTTGAAGAAGTGTTTCAAGAAGATGGAAGAATTTGAGAAAAATCTAATTCAAATTATTTTAAGGAACAGCAGTGTCAATAGGGTAAGTTTAAAACATCTTCCATCTTTCCTACTCCACTTTCATATACTCTGATATTGTCCTGTGTTTCTGCCCTTTTGATATATCAGTTTGTCTTGTTATATTTCAAAGGGCACTGCTCAGATTTGTGTGATTGTTCATTTTTGTGATGTGGACAATAAATGCTCTAAAGCACTTGAAAAAGTTCTTGCTCATGCGTGCAAGAAGTTCTCGCCTATTTCTGAGCATAGGACTTTTAAAAACTGCTAAATAGCCAGTTTAAAGCAACTTTACGGAAAATATGAAAGAAAACCACATTGTTTCTCTTGCTATATGAAGATATATTGTTGATATTCACAAAGTAATGAAGGTACTGTTCTTTTATTCTTTTTTGAGGACCTAGATAAAATAGGTTGATTTGCTTCAGATCTCTGTCTCTCTCTAGGTATTTGCAAATTCGTGTTTTAAAAATAGATCAGCAAATGAGTGAAGAATTCAGAAGCAGCATGTCCCCAGCACAAACAACAAATAGGACTGGACTGCATGTTGTTTGCATTCATCAGCCTGTGCTGTTCCATGCATCATCGTGTTAGTTTCCTCATTCAACTGAAATATCCCTGGTCTGTCTTCACAAGATGTCCCATAAGTAATGACATCCATTGCCTGGTTTAGGATTTTTGGTTTTCGTTCTGGCTTTTGGAGTAACTTGGAGGAGACATGATGGTGGTATTGTTTGAGACCTGGGTGGATCAATTTAATGTCCCCATGTATGCAACTGTACTATCATTATAGTAAATGAAGATCACATCCCTGTAATCCATGGAGCCTAAAGAATGCTGAGCAGGTACTGGTGCCTGGTTTAGGATTAGGTCTGAAGTTGCATTTAGCAAAATGAGAGCCTAGACATCTGCTGTGCCTGTGGGCAGGTGCACCCATTTGTCTTAAAGTGAATCCCACTCACTGTGTATTATTTACCCCAAAATGTAAACATCAAAGAAATATTATTACCAAATTAAGGGGGGTTTGGGTGGGAAGGATATACCTGTATTTTGGTTAGAAAGCATTCAGAATGAAATCCTTCTAGGACTAGAGCCTTGTGTCTCCAGTACCAGAGTGTTTTTCATTTCAGTGTCACCATGGTGTGATACTTAGTTTTTAATTAGAGGTGTCCTGGTGTTTTGAAAGGATGTGACCATATATACCATTTGTGTGGTATCAAGAATAGTTATAATGACTCCTTTTATATTTATGTGTGAGCAGATAGACAACAGAGAAAGTTTGAGCTGTCCTTTATTAAGGACTTCTTCATAGCTGATGATGTCCAGCGTTTCCACCCTTTCCCCTCTTCTACTCAAATGAGAAGTCAATAAATAATTAAAGTAATGTTAATTGTAGGAGAGCAATCAAGAGGTTATCCAGAGAGGAGTTAATTGTTGATTGGAGGAACGTGGCAAAGTTTAAGTGAGAAGTATCACATCTTAAATGAGAGAACATACCCTAACAGATCAGGGAATTTTCAAGTCTGCAAAATGCTTTTGTAAATCATTCAGGAGAGGTGAAGTGTGTCCACATCATTTGCAAGTGGCATATTTTCTCTGGGTAACTTCACTAAAGCAGATGGCTTTTCATCAGATGTGTTATATCTTGCTTGATCCAAAATATTGACTTAACAGGCATTACTGTCAGCAGCCATTGCCTCAATCAAACAGATTAAAAGAGTTAAGAATTGTATAAACCAATTATTATGGGATAATTGTGGTAGTTCCCAGATTTCTAGGGAAAAAAGGGAAAATGTGTGTAGTAACTGCAATACTTACAAAAAATCCTTTTAGAGGTTTGGTTTTCTTTAAACTGAACTGAATATGAAAATAAATATGTAGAATTAGTAGTGTAAATTGTATAACTAATTCTTCATGTGCTGCGTACCAGATATCTCCCAGGGACACTTTATACTTCAGGTTTAGTCATCGTTGTTTACTCAAGTGGTGATTGAAATATCAAGATTATAGGTTTAAAATAAGATTACCACTAATTACAAGGCTGTCATCTGGAAAGAG